CACCAGACCCCGGGAAGCTAGAAGAGGTAGGGGGTAGATCCTCCCAGAAGAGGCAGGGGGTCGATCCTCCCGAGTCTCAGAGGGAAACCACCCTGCTGACAGCTGGACTAGCAGACCAAACCCTTTCCCTTATAAAGATTCTCTGGAAGGCTGATCAGCGAGTCCTAAGCCCTTTCTAGTGGGGCTTTCCCCATGTGGGTGCTGGCACTGCTGACCTCTAAGGTCAAGTCTGGGTGGTGTGGTCCTCCTCAGCCATCAGTTTCTGAACCTCAAACCCAGGGACTTCTTGGCAGCTTCAGCTCCTGTCTCCACTTCTGAATAAGGAAGAAAGCTCCTGCCACTTTCCCTTCCTCTCTGCCCTTCCCCACCCACCTAAGCCCTCCTTTTCTTGACTTCTCTCGTCCTCGCCGTAGGCCTCAGTAAGGCTGCCCAAGGGAACGCTCCCAGTTCCCCTTTTCCTTCTCCCCAGAGCCCCACCCCCTAGTGTAAAATCAAGCTACCTTTGTAGGTCATACTCTGGGTAAAAGTTCTGTCTTCTACTTCCTGTCTTTCCTGGACCATTTCTTCCCAGATAGCTCTCCTTCATTCCCAGTGCTGATGGAATGTTTAGTTATTTGTTCAAAAACTGTTAATTAGCCACTCACAAAGCACCTGAGCAGCTTCAGGGCTGTGAGGGGAAGAGCGCCTGCACCTCAGGAAATGGAAACATGCCAATAATTTAAGGATGGCAGAGGCACCTCTCTGCTCAGGCTGACTCCAGTTGACTTGTGTGGGCCTCCTGAGACTTCCAAAGTATCTTGACACTCAATACTTGTTGAACTAGTGAGGCATTATGCAACCCTCCTCCTTGAAAGTTGACTGGCTTCACCCAGAGTGAGGTGGTGCTCAGTGGTGCCAGCCTGGGAAGACCAGGCATTTGCCATCCGGGAAGTGCAGAGACTCAGACCTGGATGCGAATCCTGGCTTGCTCTGTGTACTACCAACTGAACTCCAGTGAGTCTCAACTCTTGCAACTTCTTGAGCAATTTAACCTCAGTGTCTGGACAATTTTATATCCATACAAATAAATGATAGCTATAAAACCAGTGGCTCTGGCACATGTTAACTGATTTTAAGCCTGGATACAGTGGGCATGGGGGCCGCCTAAGACAATGCAAGGCAGAACCAATTTAAAGAGCCGTAAATACGGAGAGCTGTGGAAATTCAGAGACAACGTCCCACTGAGGTGATTACACTGATCTTAAAAGACGTGGGACTTTTGGAGAGCAGAGGCAATACAAAGTCTGAGAGGGGAGTGTGGGGCGCACTCATAGGCTAATGATAGAGGTGGGACTTTTGGAGAGCAGAGGCAATACAAAGTCTGAGAGGGGAGTGTGGGGCACACTCATAGGCTCATGATAATGGAAGAAAAGCCAAGAGAGAAGGCTGCAGTAAGCACATGGAGAGCCTCAAATTCCCGCCTGAAATGTGGAGTTTTGGTAAAAACACAGAAATCTCTATAGCAAAGTCAAGTTTCACAGCACATTTGTACAATGTTGTTTGCATGTGAGAAAGACAATTAGATCACTTCTCAGCCTTTTCACTAAGATCAAGTATAGTAAGAAAGACAATTAGAAGCGGATTTTTGACTGTGTAATTTTTTGTGGGTTATGCTAGACTGTCTTCTTACTTAACAAGGCTGATTGGCCATAGCAAAACTTACACATTAGGTATATGAACAAGATGGTCCTGACAGCTTCATATTAATACGTAGTACTTTGGGGCAGACAGTAGTATGGAACTGAGATTTCGAGAGCAATTCTGCCCAGTGTCACAGAGCAGTATACGGTTGAGACAGGACTGGCACTGGCATTAGAACCAAGGTTGAGTCTGGACACCAAGCACCTGATACCTTGCTATAAACAGCAGAGCTGTGAGAAGAATTTGCCAGACTTATAACATGGGCCTGTCAGTTGCTTCTAACTCAAAATTTTATACACCACAAAAAGGAAAAAGGCTAAATGACAGTGAAAACGTGACATGTTTTGTGATCAATTAGCATTCATTGCTGACTTGTCCTCAAGTTGGTGGCCACCTGAGTGAAATGTGGGTCTGCTTGTCACTGACTATTGACACATTCCTGCTCATACAATTTCCTTCTGGTTTAAAAGAATTCTTTTAGCTAGGTGTGGTGGCTCATGCCTGTAATCACGAGTAGCACTTTGGGAGGCTGAGGCGGGTGGATTGCTTGAGCTCAGGAGTTTGAGACCAGCTTGGGTAACACTGAGATCCCATCTCTGCTAAAAGTGGGAAAACTAGCTGGGCATTGCAGCAGGCACCTGTAGTCCCAGATACTTGGGAGGCTGAGGCAAGAGGATCACTTGTGCCCAAGAGTTTGAAGTTGCTGTGAGCTATGACACCACAGCACTCTAGTCAGGGTGACAGCATGAGACTCTCTCTCGGAAAATAGATAGATAGATATAAATAAATAAATAAAAGAATTATTTTTCATTACAGGTCACTGTTTACCCCATCTGTTTCCTTTCAGGAGACGTTTTTGCAGGTGGACATGTCACGTCCATAAAAGCGGAGAAGACTGAGGTGTTGGGTGCCTAACTCATTCTTTGTGTATCAGTGTGGTTTAGGGGGGTCCTTTGTTTCAAGCTCTAAGACCTGTTAGCCCCTGCAGTTCCCAGAGGCCTGCACAGTGCTGCTTGGTCAAGCAGAATGTTTCACCCACATGACAGAATCCAGTTAATGGAAGGAAGCGCCTCACTGTCACCAGCAGAGAGAACTCAGCTCTCCCCCGGAGCAAGTCAGAGTGAGGACGGAGGTGGACCTGAGCCTCTGAGTGTGGACTTCAAACCCTTTTCTTGGGACTCCTAAAGGCAGCTGTGCCAATTACTCTTATATTAATTTTTAGACAATTTCTGTTAGAAGAGGTATGGAAATATGCCAATTGTATTAAGTTAGACCACGAAATTGCTGTTATTTGGCCATTATTTTTCTAATAAAAATGGTCATTTCACATGAAGCACCCTAATAATGATCATAGCTGTGTATGTAATGTTCAAAGTGCCTTCTATATCTATTTTTCAATATAAAGAGACCCCAGATTATAAAAAGGAAACGATAAAATATAGCACATGTGAAAATTCTTAATAAATGTTGGTTGACTCTTCTATAAATCCTAGTGTGATTGGGTGGTCCTGCATATATTTTATGAAAACTGGGTACAAAACATTCTAATGTTAAGGTGAATGCTTTTCATATAAGTTAAATTTTGACATAATAAAAAAATCCATTTGATTTATATATTTACATTTTTATTAGAATTCTTCAGAACTGTCAACAATTGGACAACGTATTGGGAATAGAACACGTGAAACACCAACACCCTTTACACTTACGCCGCTTAATATTTACACATAAAGTTACTGTATATATAAAAAATATCTTCAAGGACTCATGGGCTTAGGAATTATTCAAAAGACATTATTGCTACATTTCAATATTTACAAAAAAAGCCACAAAATAATTTCAAACATTAAGCCACTGCAAAAGAAACATCTGATGTAAGAAAAAATTATAAAAATATAAACTTTCAAGAATATCCAAGACAAAACTCTTGATGATGTGCCCCTGAAGTACCTAGGCGTCTACAGTTAACAGCCACTTTCACTATCATCAAAGTCAGCAGGAATGCGAAGGGAGTTTCAGACGAAGGATGGCAAAAGCCACAGTCTCTCAGGTGACAACACAACCCCAAACCTGTTAACTCTGGGAAGGTGCGAGAGCACAGAACTCCAGTGCAAATGGTTACTTCCAGACAACGGCTACAGGTCTCTACACGTGGTCTAAGGGACCCGGGGTGGGAGGAACCGTGAAGGTAACATACCTGAATCTGGCAAGACAACACACAAAGCTTGCCTTGTACACATTACCTTTTATACTGGGCGGTGGAGGGGGGAAAACAGGTAAATTACAAGAATAATATCCAGGCTACAGTCTAAACTTCTAAAGGGTAAAATTTAAACATGTTTCAGGGGGACAGTAGCATTATATAAGGTCTAAGAGATGCGTACAGTATGTTAAGTCTAAATAACAGAGTGCCTTGAATGCAGGTGGGCTGCAGTTAGGTACAGAAGTCTTTTGCTTCTTACATGCCTCTATGGGAGCTTTGGTGAGCTACTCCAGGAAGCTGCGTGCAGAGAAACCAGGGCAGTACTGATGATGAAAGCCAAGTTCTTCCTTGGGGACTGAAGGACTCACTTGGACTCAGGGCAAGAATACCCCACCCCAAATACTTGTCTACACGTGTGCGCAGACACACACACACACACACACACACACACCCCTCTCTCATATAGATACTGGCCTGGTGTCCAGGACATGCCTGTAATGGAGGCTGAATCTAAATTTTACCTCCTGCTACGTAACAATCCAAGCCAAGACGGCACTGTCTTCCCACTCATGAGGAGTCTGCCGTCAGTCAGGAAGTTTCCAGACAGCACCACATCCACTGAGTACAATGCCATTCTGAGGCTGCTGGGCCCGTTCTGGAGAATCTACAGAGCAAGTCCATCAGCTAAAAGAGGAGAGTTCGCTAAGACTGTGCTTGGCAGTTATATTTTTTTTCCTTAAAGTATTAACTTCTTCTTTTAAACTTATATGGCTTGTAATCTAATCCTACACACAGTACACAGAATGCTCGGATTGTATACAGATAACTAAACCTTGTGGGTTTGCCCCCCTCAAATGTATGAACATGGACGATTTATAGATGAACATATATACAAATGCAGGCTGGGGAGGCCTTCTCTCCAATTTAACTGCCTAAGAGCAAACTCTTCTTTTATTTTTTATATTTTATTATTATTTTTTGAGACAGAGTCTCACTTTGTCACTCTTGGTAGAGTGCCGTGGCATCACAGCTCACAGCAACCTCAAATTCTTGGGTTCAAGAGATGCTCTTGCCTCAGCCTCTCAGAGTGCATTACTGGTGTGAGCCACGGCGCCCTGCCTCAAACTCTTACTTTAAAGCCAGGTCAGTAGTATAGTAGCTCCACAGTGAAGCCCTTTGCTCATGGCCTAGGGAGTAAGCATGAGTCAAGATTTTTCACGGCCTCTGCCTCATTCCCAGCATGAAATACTAGATTTCCTAGGTCCAGATGTTCACATGTGTCCTTTGCTCTAATAAAATATTCTGTTTTCCAGGTTTAGATTTTAGCTTCTCATCGTGCTGTATTATCATATCACTCTGGATGGTCCAAGGCCAAATGTGTCTACTATCACTTACTCAGATTAACAATCAACCATACTCTGAACACAAATCAGAAAATCCTCGGAAAGAATTCTGGACATTCAGCCCATCCCTCCCTCTCTTTTTCCAAATCAGAATCTTTTTTTTTTTTTCCTGGTTATAGTAGGAGCTACTTTGCTATTGGGAATATATACAGTTCGAACCTTTGCAATGGAATGGTGGCTGATGACAAAAGTCACCCGCCACTAAAGTGTGCTTAGAAAGACAGGATTACAGTGGGTGCCACTACCCTGGAGTAGGGTGCAAGTCAAAAGGAAACAAAAGAACCACCAAGGAAGCCGAAAGATGGGGGGTCATTCCTGCACCAGGGACCCCGACACTCCTGCTCAGACGTCTTCATGCACGAGCAGGGGCTGGGAGGAGGAAGCAGTGCTGCCAACGGAGTTGATCCTCACGGAATGGTCCACCACGGGGTTCTCAGGGTTGGGGTTGCAGTTTGCTAAGTTGGAGTAAATCTGCAGAAAACATTCCACAGTCAACACACCAGTCTCTACAGTGAAGAGGGCAGCAAAGGACACACTTACAGCATCAAAATCGCAAACCCAGTCGAGCCTCCAGGGTTGACCATCTCTTTACACTGACCACCTCCTTCAGGTGACCGGCTTTTCACAGACTGGACACACACCACATATATGTGTAAGTACAATAGGCCTAATTCCCTATGTTGACCCGATTGTTACAGTCCCTTGGGTAGTTGGCTTACAGAGGTTCTGCTGTCACTGATAAAGACTCTTAAGAAGACAGAGGTGGTTTATGAGAACTGTGGCCCTAACTCAAATCATATTGACAAAACAAATAAAACTCCCCATTTCTCCCAAGGAAATGACCTCACACAAGAAGTGGAGGCAAACCGTGTAGGCTTGGCTCGACTCTAACGGGACACATCTGGGAACAAGCACTTCAATCTAAAGCCAACTACAACCCAACAGCCGATGTAATCGCTCAGAAACCCACAGTCCTTCCAGGGAGGGATCTCCTGTCAAGAATTAAAGCTACTGGATTTTTAAGTTGAAATATGTTTTGACACCCAGAAAAACAAGCTTTATCCCAAAAATATCAGTGGTGTGTTATCAGAAAAGATAGGTCCAAGCACGCAGCCCAGAATAAAAACATGCAGCTTAAAAAAACTGGAGACAAAGTAAAGATCACTAATTCTTCCTTAAAAGCAGGAGAGGAAATAATGGATTTGAATTTTCATTCCCCATCCCCAAATCACGGGGAGGGATCTTCCTAACTTCAAACAGCTCCACTTTCTCTGTGGCTTGCGGGCATGACAGCTATCTGCCATTGTCTGGCTATGCTTGTTTGATCAGAGGCTTATTTTACTGCAGTAACAAGCTGTCTTTTCTATGCTTTTCTTCTACAGTTCATGTTACTTCAACCCTCCAGGGGATGGATGGCCCAGACACGTGAGAGGGAGAGCTCACCAGCCCCATGACCAGCATTGGGGGTGGGACGAGAACATGGGAAATCCGTATGGAATCGTCTCCACACTGCGGAGCACAAAGCCCTTCCCCCCATCTTCTCACATCCTTCTTTGGCTCAGAACAGGGGGGCTGGGCAGAAACAACTGGTTTCCACTTACTTCCCCACCTAAAGCTGAATAACAACCTAAGCCACAGAGAGAAGGGGTAGGGAGGTTAGTCCTTACCCTGAAAACCTGCAAAGGAAGACACACCTGGAACAGACAGAAAGGGGGTTCTATTCCTCGCAGAGCACACTCACATGACTGGTGCTGTCTGAAATCTGCTTCTCTATCAGCTGAACGATCTGCTTGAATGTTGGCCTTTTTAGAGGATCGGCGTCCCAGCAAGTCTTCATGATGTCATACCTGCACAATGAGGGCCATTTAGGATCCTCCCCCAGTGCCTTTAGCCTGGGGTTGGATGTGTACCACGCAACAATGTCCACAGTAATTCCAGGCTCCACAACGGGCATACGGAATGACACGTGCACAAAACACAACACCACGTGTACGGAATGTTGCCGAAACTTTGTTTTGGGTGACAAGACATTATGAAAATAAACTACCAAAATAAAAAGGAACCAAGTGACATTTTCAAACTGTGCTGGTGAAAACCCTCAACATCTGGGTTTCTGTCTTTAAAAAATAAAATAAAAGGGGAAACGTGATCTAGAGGAAAAACTTCTCGGCCCTTACATTTCAGCAGGTGCGTGCTCGGGGCTGAGCATTCGGAAGCCTTCCTTAATCATCTTGTAGAACTTAGAGTCGACGGGCATCCCAGGGTAAGGGCTGCTTCCTGAGGCACAAACGGTTCTCAAATCAGCATTAATCACAACCAAGCAGGATGCTAATAAAACCTTAGCAAGGCACATGAAGGAGTATTTGGCAAGGACGGTTTTACCTAAAGAAAACAGCTCCCACAGAAAAATCCCATAGGACCAGACATCACTTTCAAATGTGTACACACAGTTGAAAATGCTCTCGGGTGCCATCCACTTGACAGGCAGACGAGCCTGTAATGGAAGCAAAAGTGTTAGTTAAGAAGCTCAGAGAAAACCCTTACCTATTAAAGATTCTTACGGATTTGCTCCTGTGGAAAGGTGGGGTGGGGACTTGAGCACCATCTCACAAAGGCCTTTAACCCACACCATCTCAGATGATCCCAACAACCTCATGAATCCTTGTTTTAAAGATTGAGACACAAAGTCAGTACAGCACGGTGATTAAGAGCACACACACCCAGACAGCCAGGCATGGGTCTGAACCCTGGTTCCACTCCTGACCTTGACAGATGCAGAGATTTGTTCAATGCCCTTCTTCCTTAATGATAGAAATATGACCTCCCAAGCCAGGACTACATTTCCCAGCCTCCTTTGCAGCCAGCTGGAGTCATGTGACTCAGTTTTGGCCACTAAGTTGTAAGCGTTGTACTTGTACGGCAACTTCAGTTAAACATCCTTAAAAATATAGCTGGCACATGCCCTCTGCCCTCTGCCGTCCTTGTCTGCTGATGTGATGTACCGGCTGTCCATGTGGCAGTTATCCTGAACCATGAAGGTGGTCCAAGGACAAACGGTCCTGGCCACTTCAGAGAACCTCTGTAGTCTGCACCAACCCTGCCTGCTATCCCTGAACACTTTTTCCTTTTGAGTTTTCTATCATAGGCAGCCAAGACTATCCCTTCTCCCTTAATAATAGAAACATGGCCTCCCACACTTCCTGGGAAATCCAGGACCACGTTTCCCAGCCTCCTCTGCAGCCAGCAGTCAAGGAGTCAGAACTGTCCCTCACTTGCATGCTGGGAAAGTTCCTTCAATATTAAGGCTCCATATCTTCTTCTGTAAAACAAAATTAACACTCCCGATCTCATGAACTGCTCTGGGGGTCAAATGAGATAATGTGGGTGACTTGCTGCTGCCTTAAAAATCCCCCAGCATAAAAGCAAGGGCTCCATTAGCAAGAGTGGCTTGTGAAGACGACGCCTGTTCTCAGGCGGTGACGCCGCAGGGTCAGAGCTGAATTCAGCAGCTGAGCCACTTGCTCGACCTGAACGCTTTCCATGAAAATTGAGCTAAACTTTCCGTGACTGTTCCTCTTACATATACCCTGGATCTTATAATCTACCGTAAAAAGCTAAATCAAGCCTTCTTTTAATCCATTTAGGATTGGAAACTGGGAAACCAGTTTTTTTTTTTTATAAAAAAGGTTTCCAATATCCTTTTCTGGGTATTGTGGTAAGCTGCTGTCAGGGCTCTTACCCTGAGATCTAAGGGCATCTTGCATTCAGGGGCCTGTGAATTTAAAGGGGAAAAAATTACATCCTTATTTCCACCAACTTCTAAATGAAGTCTGGCAATTCCCTGAACTACAAACAAGGGCAATAAGCCAGGTAGTATTAGCAGGACCTGTAACTTTGTCACCAACAGTAATCACAGATCTATCCCCGTATCCTGTTCCAGTGCTTACAGGGATATCAATATTCACATTGAACACCACTTTGAAAATCCAGTAGTGTTTATAACCACAGCTAGAACTTGTTACTATGTGTAATAAATACATGTATTGACATATCACACATTTACTGAACATTTTGACAACTACTTCAATGTAATTGCTTTTCTTGGTAATTCTGTGCATTTTATTTCAGGGATGTAAGACAGTATTCTGGCCAGGGCTCCACAGGCCCCCCTGGATGGGAAGAGGCCATGGCATAAAAATGACTAAGATTGATGTGAAATGGAAGAACTTTAAGAACACTTGACTCAAAATCGATTTTTCAAATGACTACAGTGGTAAATTTGGGGGCATACCGTGTGAGTTTGCTTGTTTTTAACTTGTCCCATGAATTCTCTTTACCCACTAGCCTGGTGAAAGCAATGTCTGTGATTGGTTAGTTCAACTGACTTCAGCTGCCGTCTCTGATGGGCCGCCTGGTGGGGCCTCTCCTGTCAATTCCAACTGAGCTAACCCCGAACGAGCTATTAAGAAACTGTGGCTTAACCCATAACCAGGGTCACCATTATTTACCTATAGGGAATAGAAAGAATGTATGCCTGGCACAATTCTAAGTGCTTTACATAGTTAACTCAATTAATCCTCAGAATGACTTTGAGGCAGGTGACACTGTTATTCCCAAGTGGAGAAAATTATCCAGCACCAAGCTTCAGTTCTTGGATAATTGTTAACAACATTACACTAAATAATGGAGCCACATGAGAACGCATCGAGACCGGCTCCCAATCTGCTATCCTCTTCCTCTTGCTCTTTTGTCCACATTTGGGAATCTGGATAATGAGCCACTTGTCATTCTTCCTTCCAAAATTGCCCAAGGATGGAAAGAGATTGTTTCATCAACACTCCTAATATCTAACCTCAGAAAGTCTTCCCAGAATGCATGCTTTGGTCAGAATTTAAACCGAGAAACACTTCTACAAAACCAAGCGGAATACAGCCTACCCTGAGAGATGCCGTAGTGACAAGGGAGAAAATATCACATTATCATAAGGGACACAAAATTCCACCTTTAAGAATGAATCTGGACTGTAGAAATGGACCTACAAGAACAGGCAGAGAGAAGAATGTACAGGATGGTATGATTTTCCATACCAAATAGCTGCTGCTCTGGAAATCACGGGCTCTGGTTTGACCTGTGTCATCGCTGATAAAAATCACCAAAAAAAAAAAAACCCGGCTGCTTATTTCCTCCAACTTTTAAAATAGAAAGACATTGTATTCTAGGGCATGGGTATAATAAAAATTGGCAATAAAATGAAAGCATTCTGAAAAAACATTCACTATGTTCTACAAACCAATTATTACTATTTATAAATCTATTTACTAGCTCTCCATTCATTACGAGATCCAACATTCTATAGAGCTAACTTGAAACATGGTCTTAGATTTTAATCCTTTTCATATAAATGCCAATCTAAAAAAAAAAAATCCTCCTGCTGTGACCTTCAGGTCTACATTTCTTACCCTTGAGCAAAATCAAGTTCATTGCTATTCTCAGACTATAATGAAAATTAAGGCTATTTCTGTTTCCTTCACATGCCCCATAATCACACAATTAGAATTAGGCATTCTCTCATTGAATGTTAGTTGTAATAATGTTCAGCATACCATGCAAATTTTGCTAAAGTACACTTAATTTGACTGCTAAAATGTATGACATCTCAAGATAAGATTTACATGATGAAAATCACAGGCAATAATGTTTATCAAAAGTTGAAACTAAAAATCCTTTAGTTAAGGCTGCAGTGAGCTGTCATGCACGCCAGGGACAGAGGGAGGCCCTGGCTCGCTTAAAAAAAATAAATAAAAATAAAAGTCCTTTACAGGACTGTCAAGCAGAGGACGGTACTCACATTTCCTTTCACCACATAATTAGAATCATTCTTGATGTCTCTGGCTAGACCAAAATCACAAATCTTTGTGATTCGACCATGGGTAAGGAGGATATTTCTGGCTGCCAAGTCTCTGTGAATACACTATTAGGTTAGAGGAGAGAAGAAACCGTTTAAATTCATTTGAACTTTTAAATAGTGAAAACTACTTTTTAATACTAGAGTGCTGCCTATGTTATAAAAATCCAATACTTTTGTTTTACATGAAAGTACTTGGTATGCCAAAAATAAAAATCCAAATTATGCCTTGAATGATGTTCACATTTTATGTTTCACATAATCAGGACCATAATTACCATAATCACTTTCAGAACCAATTCTAATAAATGCTTTTTTCTTGTCAGGACTGCTTTCATTCATAGGAAAATACTTCAGAAATAGTCATATCATATTTTTTTAAATTGAAAATTCATTTTGCATGCATCTCTTTGAATGTCCTTTCAAAGAGTCTTTGCAACTTCAACTTGACATCTCCCAAGGATGCAAGGAAGAGGGTCTTTATTATTTCAGCCACCCTATATCCTCTTTTAGTTTGTAATTGTTTGGAAATGTCACCAATGCCATTTAAGGGGAGGATGTAAAACCTCGTTCTACTTGGTTCGTCCTGTTTCCCAAGGAATCCCTCTCGCCCTTCCACAGACCCTTCCTCCTCCGTTTAGCTTCATCCTTCTCATCCATCCCCACCCTGTTCCCGAATGTTTATTATTTTCTCTGACCCTTTATTCCCCGACACCTCATAAGCCATATATATAATATTTGGGGTCTGACTTCATGTTGCACCAAGCATGGCAACCACAAGGTACCCACAGCTTTTGCTGACAAATGATTCTCCTCTCTTCTAGGAGCATAGCCTACATATACTAAAAGCCAAAAGTTTTAAATAAATATGCATGGAAAGCTCATTTAGACAGGCTTGCACTTTAAGGCTTATAAGTTAGAACAGGAATTCCAAAGAGACAGCAGTTGAAACATGAAGAAACTAAATTTCCTCTGCTCTTGGTCACCACACTTCAGAATGACACTGTGCATTCTACCTACGGCTCTGAAGGGCTCCATGCCTGGAATCACTCCCACTTACGTTTTTGGAGGCGAGGAAAGCCATGCCCTTTGCCACCTGGTAAGAAAAGCTCAGCAGGTCCTCCAGGTCCAGGGCCAACTCATCATCCTCTATGATGGCAGAGGTCACGTCTCTCTCTATGTAGGAGCCTGTTAAGAAGAGAGGGATTTTCTTAGCAATTAAAACCTTAAAGATTAGGAAAAGATGGAAGGAAGGAAGGGAGGGCAGTGAAATGACAACACCCAAGGCTGGTAATGAATAAACTAATGTGAACTTAGAGGCAAATCACCTCCCTGGTGCTGAGGGAAGGCTGAGATGTTGAATCGTAAAGTTAATATTCAACAGTCCTAGGCTGGTTTACAAAATCCTTAGGGGAAAGGAATGGCAGATTAATACAAAAATCCCACATATACAGTAAGATGTTCAGATTAAAAGAAAAACACATGCTTTGATCCCAAACACCCATTTTGCGACCGTAGCTGCTGCTGTCCACTGGCGTTGCCAGAGGACCCTCTATAAGGGATAGCCGGACGCTGCCAGGAGCAACGTCACCTCTGACAGCAGCGACCCTCCCTGTCCTCACTGCGGGGCAGGCACCTACCTATTCGTGCAGATCTCCGTTTGTCTGACTTGGTTGGGACAACATAAGACACTCCAGGTTTCATGTCCATGTATTCATTAGTGCTGTCACTGCTGGGGAGAGAGAGGAAACAGCCATCAGGTCACGGCCAAATGACACGGGAAACGCAGGAGAGTGCCGGCGAGCCAGGCCCTGTTTCCTCACCCACCTTGGTACAGAATGCTGGTTTCTATGCCAGGAAAGCAGTATAAAGTTTGAATGAAGAGTTTAAAAACTTGTACCATGAAATGTGCGTTGTCAAGATTCAATAGTAGGGTCCAATTCCCAGGAATTAGGTGTGATTTTTGTGTTCAATCAGAAGAGGAACTTGGGTTAGAAATGTCCTATCTATTGACACAGTGGATTTAATGGGAAACACAGAGCCAGAAACGTTATCCCACATTACTTCAAACTCTCTAAATTAGCCCCAGGAGACCAGATGAAAAAAAAAAGACAAAGAACAAGCCCTTCCAAGATGAGGCAGAGGCAGAGATTGTTAACATATAGAGAGGGATGGAACAGGGTTTAAAAAAACCAAGTTTGGTTCAGATAAACACCAATAATTTGGATGATTTTCTGAACCATCTGGACCTCTTGAATCTGCAACATTTGGCTGGAGACTCTTCAAGATTTCTAGTACTTCCTGCTCCCGATTAGCATGGAAACAGCATGACAACAGTCTCCTTCTGAGCTGCTGGTGGTTCCAGTCCCATATGGGATCCTACAGCACAAAGAACATCACACAGGATCGAACAGCTCAGGCCATTATTTCAGGAAGTTAAAAATCATATAATGGGCCAAGCGGCTCCTTCAGAAGGCGGGCAAAGTAGCTCATGTCTTCATTCAAAGAGCCTATGCTCAGGAGAAATTAATACCAGGTGGTTTGCACAGTATTTTACTAACTCTTTCAACTAAAACAGGATTTAAAAAACATAAAGAGCTTCACCTGGGGTTTTCAACTTTAGCCCGAGGTACAGAAAATGGCTTTAAGAGGTAAGTGCCCACCGATACTATTTACAGAAGTCTCCTCGAGGGCCCCAGTGTTATGAGTTTCGGAGACTCCACCTTGAAATATAGGGGACACAGATGGAATCAAACAGGAGGGGAGAGCTCTACTGCACAGCTGTGGTGACAGCACACAGGAGACGGGCACGAGAACCACAGCTCCTGTGGGACCGGTGACTGCAAGAATTCCTCAGCGGTGGATCTTGATGACATTGCAAAAAAAAAAGAACGGGCAAGGTATGGCAGAGAATTCTGTTCTGGTTATAAAGCATACGAATTCTCCTTAGAGGAACCCAGAGCTCTATATATACCATTCAAATTCAGAATGGCATCCATGATGACAGAGAGGAGAACAAGGTCCAGGGTTTAAAGCATGTGCCCAAGGAGTCGTGTGTCTTCCCAGCATGATGAAGTAAGCGGAGTTGGGGCGGGGGGGGGGGGGTGTCAGCCATGATGTCATGATTCAGAGGTAAATGGCAAAAAGCCTTGATATGTTCAGAGTGTTCTGCCACAGGTCTGAAAGGACTCGACTGTGACAGCGTGACAGGCTGTAGCATTTCCCCTATAAACAGAATCTCATGGTAAAGACGCACGCACCACCAAGCTCACCAGTACAAATGGACACGCACATGAGGACAGAGCTCGAAGACAGACGGACGTGAAATCCATTCACACACAGACTGAAGCTTAGAGAGAAATACTGAAGGCGCATTTTTAAAAAGTCAGCAGAAATCTACGTTTAACAAAGTCTGAATCTTTAAAAACACCATTTGAACTTTCGAAGCTGTTAATCAAATATAAACGATTTAATAATTTCGATGTCGCACCTCAAAGTACCTCAGTTCAGTTTTCAAAGAATCTGCCTTGATTGCAAACCCTCATGACCCCACACACCGCCTGTGAACAGCTGCCTGTTTATGCCAATCAGTCTTACCAGGTCGACCCCTTTGAATGGAGAAGGTTCTTATAAAGTGCTGCTTCTGCGTGATCTTCCTGCTTTGAGCAAATAAATGAATCACGTTTTCGTCTCAAAAAATTCAAAAGATCACCATAGCAACAATATTCCGTAATGACCAAGGTGGGCCCTATGAGCACATAAGAAAAGGTTAGAAAGAGGTGAGATGTATAGATAATCCTGCCTCCCATAAAAACACCCAAGGGTGGTCGTGGTCATGGTCATGGACATTCAGCTTCAATGGCTAAGCTTACCTAGTCCCTGTATAATTCTATTAACATCATTTGTCAAAAGAGCAGCGTTGTGAAGAGAAAAAGCCAGCAAGCCTCTTACTGCCTGAATTTCTAACTGATGTTTGCGTTTAGGGCCAGGCGTGACTGCTGGTTTTACAGACAGAAGTTAACTGCTCTCAGAGGTTCCACTCTTCACCATGCTTCCTGCATGAATCCTTTGATTCACTTCTGTTTACGGCAGGGCCTGGCGCACTCCGTAAGGTTATTATGGAAATGATGAAGGGTATACAAACTGTAGCAGGGTGGGAAAATCAGCCCCACAGAGCAGCCCAGAACGATCCGTGTTCTGAGCACTACTAGTCCAACATTAGTTTGCTGTTATGAATGCTTAGAGCTGCAGTTTTGAAGTAACAGACAACTAATTAACTTGGGTAGAAATTTTCTCATGAACAACTCATGACGTGGTGAAGCGACATTTGTGGAAATTGTGTGAAGATGTTATACAATGCTGTCAACTGTGCCGAAGATCTCTCCAGATCACCAGGAACGGCTCATTTTGCAAGCCTCTGTTCCTTTAGACCAAAATACTTTCTGAAGACACCATGGATGTCCTTGGCGGGGACCTCAACTGAGGTTCTGATTGGAAATTTATTTTTACAGAAGTGAAATGTTTGCCTCATTTGGTTTACTTTGGAGAACTGATAGGCTTTGAGACCTGTTTTAAATTATGTTATGGAAATGAACGTTAACCCTTTTCGTGACTAAGTCTGATTCAGCAATAGACAAAGCTTGCAAGATAGGAATACGCTTGCAGGTGAGATGAGAAAATCAAGAGCTGAGTCAAAGTTGCTGACATTGCACATACAACAGTGACTTGGCTCGGCTCGGCGCCTATAGCTCAACCGGCTAAGGCGCCAGCCACGTACACCTAAGCTGTCGGGTTCGAATCCCCAGCCCGGACCCGCCAAACAACGATGATGGCTGCAACCAAAAAATAGCCGGGCGTTGTGGCGGGCGCCTGTGGTCCCAGCTACTTGGGAGGCGGAGGCAGGAGACTCGCTTGAGCCCAGGAGTTGGAGGTTGCTGTGAGCTGTAATGCCATGGCACTCTGCCCAGGGGGACAGCTTGAGGCTCTGTCTCAAAAAAAAAAAAAAAAAAAAAAAAAAACAGTGACTTGGCTCACTCACCCTATGATGATAAAACTAAAATCTGCTTTTTTTTCTGAGACAGGGTCTTGCTCTGTCACCTAGACTAGAGTACAGTAACATCACCATAGCTCACTGCAGCCTCCAACTCTGAGACTCAAGCAATCCTCCTATCTTAGCCTTCCAAGTAGATGAGACTATAAGTGCATGCCACCATGTCTGACTAATTTTCCTAATTTTTTTTTTTTTTTACAGAGATGGGGGCTTGCTCTTGCCCAGGCCGGTCTTGAACTCCTGAGCTCAGACAATCCTCCCAGAGCACTAGGATTACAGGCCTAAAATCTACATTCTTAAGAATAACAGGGAAAACAAAATGTAAGAAAGGGACAGATTGGGTAAAAATATTGCAAGCTGTTTATAATCAAAAGCATTGTCAAAATCATATTAAAACACCACCCTTTGAAAGCCTGACAGATAATAAAAGGCAACTCAGACATGGCTGTACCTCCAATGGTGCAGGCGCCGAGAAGGTTCACAATGTTCATATGATTACCCAGGTAGCTAAGGACTTTGAGCTCAGACATCAGGGCTTCTCGTTCCGTTAAATGGGCACTTGCTAAAATTAGAAACATCTTATTTTAGTGGAAATAAAATTTGGCAAAATGACGCTGAGTGTGTGCAGCAGCCTGCCGAGACTCACGTTTGAGCATCTTCACAGCCACGGTCATAGCCGAGTCGGACTTAATTAAGCCGTAGGCAGTCGCCTCAACAACTTTCCCGAAGGCACCAGCGCCCAAGGTTTTCCCTTTAAAAGGAGGACAACAAGGTCAGAGGTGGTAGGGGTGGGGTGGGGGGGACCAAAGGACCATTTATATAATTTTAAAATCAGAAAAAGAATCAAAGACAATTGGTCTAAAAGCATTTGCCTATAATGTTTTCTATGCCAAGCCTATCAAGGGTGGTGGTGAAATTTCGCAGAAAACACTTCCTGAAACAGGTGGAACAAAGCTAAGGAAGCACTGGGGTTCCCTAAAGCGGCGGGCACACACAAAGGTTATGTGGAAAGCCCCGGTTTCATACTGACCAAAACTCAGCCTGTTCCTGGGAAACTCCCACTTGTGATCATAAGGAAGTTGTGTCGGGTCTATGTAAACATAATTGTTTCCATTTATCTCCTCAACAACCTTCCACTGTACTTCATACATTGGCTTCTGGATGGGAGAGAGAGAAAGACAGATCATCTTTTAATGATTAACATCCTGGTCATTACAGCACTCAGGGGAGAGAGCAGATCAATGGTTACCTGTAAATATTTGTAGGTGAGGATCATCACAATAACACACATCATCCCAGCTACAACCACAAAGCCGATCAGCAGAGGAGTGAACAGGGTGTGGGAGTGGATTTGCTCTAAAATGAAAGGAAATGTGGGAACACACACCTTTAGAAGGATAAGACCCCTGCTGGAGCTGCTCAGCCCCAAACTGAACCTCCGCCCAGCTTGCCCCCGCAGGATGCAAGGCCAGTTCCCCTCCTGGGCACACTGCACTCCGCAGTCAGTGACTCTTTAGAAACACAACTTTAAGCCAGAGTGGAAGGAACAGAAGTGGAGACTTCTGTAGCATTAGAATAATTTTATGCTGTTTTTCAGTGAAAAGCAACATCTGAGTGAATTTTGTACTTCTACAAATTCCTGCCTTGTATAGCTATAAAAAGGAGCTCCTTATATGAATGGGTATATTTTCTCCTTTAAAGTGTCCTGCATATTTCAGATTTTCCTCATTGAGCATAATTGTTTTTCATAACCAAGAAAAAGGTTTTTTTTTTTTTTTTAAGACAGTCTTATTCTTTTGCCCTGGGTAGACTTCTGTGGCATCACAGCTCACAGCAACCTCAAACTCTTAGGCCCAAGCAATCCTCCTGCCTCAGCCTCTTGAGTAGCTGGAACTACAGGTGCCTACACAATACCTGGTGAGTTTTTCTATTTTTAGTAGAGATGAAGTATTGCTCTTACTCAGGTTGGTCTCAAACTTCTGACCTCAAGCAATCTGCCTGCCTGGGCCTCCCAGAGTGCCAGGATTACAGGTGTGAGCTACCATGACTGGTCCAAGAAAAACTTTTTTTTTTTTTCTTTTTTGCAGTTTTTGGCTGAGGCTGGGTTTGAACCCACCACCTCCGGTATAGGGGGCCGGTGCCCTACTCCTTTGAGCCACAGGCACCCCCCGAGAAAACATTTTTAAAAGTGATTTTTTCATTGCCCTGTCTGAAAAATCAACGATGTAGAACAATGTATGATTCTTCCACGAATTACTCAAAAACAGAAAATAAAGCACTGTCTGGTACTTGTCTTTGCCAACTCAAAAAACAAAAACTGAACCCTAAAAACTCAGGCACCCCTTTTCTGTCTTCTAACCTTTTACCAGTTCATCAAGTCTCCATAAGGATCATTTAACTCATGTTAAGAGAGTGAGTCAGTCATGAGTCCAATTTTAATGATTTTAAAGAAACAACTAGCCGATATGACTCCATAAAAGATCTTGGTTAACTTTTTCATATAGTGTCAGACAAAGTTTAAAATACTTCATTTTAAATATCTGACATTTTAAGCTGAAATTAAATTTCAAATTCTTCTGTTAAATTATTCCCCTAGGTGCTGTCTCTTCCCCCTCTTAATGGTGACAACTGTAAATATGTAATTAATTATGCACATATTATATACATATATATATAGAGAGAGACACACACACATGCACAGATATGCACACACATAAAATATATACAGTAGCATGGTTAAAATTACTCTGGCAAAAGTGCACATTTTCTTAACAAACTAGCACAAAATGAAACTTGACGGGGGAATGAGGACAGTACGGTGTGATGTAGGCGTTACCAGAAATGACATGGCCAATGTTGGAATGGATTTAAAACCACGATTGATATGGTAGACAGAGCCTAAATATCCCCTTAAATTGGATTAAAAAGAAATATACCTTTGTTGTTACCTTTAAATGCAAAGTTAAAATAGGCAGAAGTCTTGCCCACATCGTTGGAGGCCTTACACTCAACTGTGCCATTGTGCTTGAAGGCACTAGAATCTATGGAGCTCTGAACCACCAGTCTGCCGAAGGGTGGCCCGGAGGAGTTCTGGATCTGCACACCCACTGGCAGTACAGGAGCTGAACATCTAGGACAAGAAAACAACAAGCGGGGCTCACTCAGTACATACATGTGACACTTAAAGCAAGAGGTTCATGCTCAATAAAAATCTCCTTTGACAACAGTTAGCGTCTGATGAGGACGGGCGCTCTCGTGGTCATGTAAGCAAGAAAAACACTGTGGATGTGAAGATAGAGGAGAGGTGGACTTGGATCTGGACAAGCCTCCTCGGCTCTGCAAGGCTCAGTCCCTGCAGGGTAAACACCATTGCAAGGGGCTCCTGAAGTGAAAGACACCAGAGGCTGGGATATATGCCGGTACACAGTTGATGCTTATAAAGAAAAACAAAAGCCCTTCAAAGGGAGTGTGAATGGGTGAAACGAAACAGCAAGAACCACAGCTGGAGGTTCTGAGCAGAGCGGGCCTGGCTGTACTGCAGGTGGCAAAGACCAGCGCCACCGTGAAGGGACCCTTTCCAAGGACCCTGGACACTCCATTCCACATGCGGAGACACTTCCTACTCCCTTCTTGACACCTACATAAGTTAGTCAGGTGCTCTGCTCATTGAGACTCATATGTGTTTTGTCCAAGAGAACAGCGCCCGGAGTCCCGCGGGCACTCTACAAATATTTGCTGAATGAATGCCCATAACTACTGGGGTTGCTTCCATCGTGGGCCTGCTTTCCAGGGCTCTTCAACCCTCCCTGCTCCCCCAGAAGAACATGCTCTGCTAAAACCCAGCTGAAAACAACAATCACATATAACCTCTCTGACTATTCCATGAAAAATAAAATTTCTACCATCAACCGGACTACCCGATTGTGATGTTAAACTGGGCTTTTAAAGCCTGAGTATAAGATAGCAACTGATGGATAAAAACAGCCCTATGGACCCCATTTTCAACTTCAGATAATGCAAAAGGACCATTTAAGGCCTCAATGTGGATTGTGAGGGAGAAGGATGCAGATGTTCTCTGCTCAGGAGCTGGGCACCCAATCAAGGAGAAACCCTCCCGAAGACCGGTCGCTTACAGAGGCCATATGCATGTTGTGATTGCTCCATCATTACTTTTTGGTAACTTGGCAATTAACTTCTGAGGTAATTTTTTTCAGGATAACTACAACCACATTCCCCACACACATTACCTCCTGTGTGTAGAATGGAAATCTAATTACTCCGTCCTGCAAAATTGCTTTATCTACCTGCAGGCTAGAAATTGCATGATAAATCCAAAAAGATAACCACCAAAATAGAGAAGTCATTCAGTAATCATTTTTCAGCAAACGAAATTAATGTTGACCAAGAAAAATATACCAATTATCCCCTCTAAAAAGCCACATGGCTAGGGAAAAATAATAATACTCAAAACAAAGCTTTAAAAAAATCATGAAAACACATTTGAAATTCAACTGAATTGCAATCTTTCCCTTCTGCCTTTTAAGCAGTGCCAAAAAAACAGTCACTCACCTCTGCTCAGTTCCTGGACAAAAGTACCAATCTATGGTGGGCTCAGGGAACCCGGCAGCCACACACTGGAGCATGCCATTCATAAGCCTGTCATAAGTCAGGATTTCTGGTTTTGCTGTAGGAAGAGAGAAGTCACCATATGTCAGCACGTGGAAAACAGCAAGAGTTGCTCCTCTCCCTTCCTAATCCTTAGAACCTTCTCAAAACCACCAAGGAGCCTGAATGACGGGGTCATTCAAAAGGAAGAATCTGAATCAGGGAGTGGAAGGCACAGGGAGGCAGATGTCAGGTCAACCCCGAAAGGCTTTCACATGTCCAGCTGCCCTGCCCCGGTGGGAACCGTCCCCCAGGGATGCAGACCCCTCCTAGAACCCTGTTCCCGGGATGGTGACTGAAGGACCACCTGGCAGGATTTCTGCTTCCAGTGAGGGGGAATCTCAAAGACTGTGTCTAACCAAGACTCTCAGATACCAATCTGCTGTAAAGGTGAAAATCCTGCTTGAAGGATTCTTTCCAATGGGATTTAAAGTTATTATACCTGCCACAGGAATTTCAGGTTACTGTGGGAACTGGAATGGATAGAATTAGAAGCTGTTACAAGGAAAAGTGAAGCCCTGCTCCTTCTCTCTCACAAATTTTCTCCTTTTAGAAGATGGAAGAAGTGACACTGATGAAGATCTGAATCACCCTACTTAGAAGGAAGTGGAAAACTAATAGTAAAATACATGCGGGCTTTGAACTCCAAACGCAAGACATGAACAGAAAATCAGAAAGCCAGCCCAAGAATTTCATTCACCTGTATATCTGAATCTGAATATAATCATCAAAAAAATAAACTGTATCAGCAAGAAGGCTCTAATTTGCCATTTCTCTGGAACTACAGTCATCAATGGATATTCAAGAATTCCAAATTTTTAAAATTATTTCTACAGCAAAAGGAAGATGAACTTAGTACGTTCAGTTGTTCTGACGGCAATAGCTGAAGGAGGCTGACCCTCTGAGAATGAGTAAGTTAAACTGTGAGCATCTCGATGGCAGAAATGGGGGTGTGCACAGCGCTGATGGTGTCAACTCCAAGCACCAAGCCATGGTGTGTTGTTGGGACAGGCAACCTGGACAGACTTGAGGACCAGTCCCTTTGCTTCCCAGTTCTTTGACCTTGAGAAAGTTTCTGAATCTCTCTCTACACTTGTTTCCTCAATAGAAATGAGAGGGAAACGTACAATGAGAGTAATAACCTATCTCAGAGGAATGCTGAAACAGTTACATGAGATGGAACACACAAGAATTAGGAACGATTCCTAGAAATGCATCAATATATTTGTCATCAACTATTATTACCAATTCCATTCTGCTTCTCTAATCATCCTCCTTGGTTAATCAAGTTTGCCTCAGTGTTTGCCACTCTGAATGTTTTCTCTAAAGATCTAAAAACTGTTTAAGATGGACTGATAATCTGTACGTTTAACCTGATGTACTGGGAATTCAACACCAATTACGTCACAACTGATACAGAAAATAGATGTGGTGAGGAGGAAAGACTGACAGATGAGAACCTCGGGAAGTTTATTTCCCCAAAGGAAGGTAACACTGATAAATGACATCTTCGGAGAAGAAGCTCTCAGCACCTCACCTCCCTGGAGGCAAAAGAGTTGGCAGGGACCAGAGTGTCCACATGCATGACACACCCGCCTGTCACTCAACCTGGCCCCGCTGATGGGCAGACCATTTGGCTACTACACACAAAAAGAGCAACTCTCCAAAACAATCTCAAGGTAGGGGCATCCTTGAGAATTTGGATCCAATGCCAGCTTTCACAAATAGAGCAAGAAGACAAGCCATCATCTTGCAAAAGCATCCATCTGGCAAGTTTGTTTAATTATCACAGGCAACTGTGTGATCAGGCTGAAAAGTAGGGCATAACACAAAGAATCAGTGGACCCTTAGGAGAATGCTACCTGCTGGAGACTACAGGTGCCATACGGCGGGTCTCTCCAGACTCAGTTTAAGTGTCACTTCTTTTTTGAAGGAACGCCCTACTCTATGGAGCCAAGTTGGTTGGTCTCTTGTCTTACCTGCTCTGAAGAGCTCTAAAGAGCACCTGACGCTGTCAGGAAAGGTCCTGATCTGCCTCTGCCACCTGACCAGGTATTCTCAAGGGCAAAGCCCTTCTTACTCACTGAGCCTTTGCCTTCTAGGGCAGAGTCTGACCCACAGTGGGCCCGTGATAATGAGTAAAACCCCACCCAGAGGGGAAAGTCTCCTGGAGTCCAACGGCATTCAGAGTCATGAGAAAGGACCTGCTAGTGACTTTCCTAGGTAGGGGAGCTATTTCTACAATTCTTACAAAAGACGGCCGTAAGATAAGAAATCTACATGAATGCCTGGCCCTGTGAAATTTTTCATGATTAGTGGTGAGAGGAAAAGGTCTGCACATAGATAGCAGAGATAACCAGATAGAACTTGAACATGAATCACGTTCACCAGACAGACTTACTCAGACCTACGTTTCCTTTTGTACTCAGACTTCCTAATGCCCATAGTGCCACATGATGGATTTCCAGTAGAACTGTTAACTCAAACAGAAAAGAAAAGGATGAAAGTGGCTATGTCTGGGTGGGGGGTGGGCTAGGGATAGTTTATTCTTTAGACTTTATTTTCTAATTTTACTTTACAATGAACCTGTAGCTAAATATGAATCTATGAAACATTTTTTTAAAATAAAAAGTTGGGACAGCTCAAAATTATATAATCAATTACATTTAGCTTTGGTTACGAGTGCTCTAATATCCAAGCCTTCCAGCGTTGACACCTGGCCGCAGTTATACAACAGCCCAGGCTGGCACCGGTGTGGTCTGGCTGGCCTATTTGCTCCTGTGTACTGGCTAATTAAGCAGTTTTTTTTTTAAGCTACTATCCCAGGTGGGTCATAACCCGAGGCTAATTGAGCAGCTTTTATCCTGTTATGCCTTAGTCCAAGCAATCGAGCTCACAGGGTCCTAAACCCCCAATGTGCATTAGACTTATGAAGGAAAAGAGGTTAAATGCAGATTCCTGGGGCCCATCTCCAGGGAATCACTAAGCTGAGGATCTGACCCAGCAATGTACCTTTTTAAAAATACAGTTAAGGAATCCAGTCGGGGCCGGACAAGAGTGAGGTACCCAAAGGTCTGGCAAGTCAGCACCTGTGGGGCAGCACCTCCTTAAACTTTGCGCTCAGGTGTCTTTTCCCTCACCCTGTCCCAGCCCTGTCTCAAGATGGGAGATTTCATTGTGAAAGGCTAAGTTACACCAGCACAGTGTGAGCTGCACGGCAAGTTGCATCATGAAAATGTTTAATGCATAAAGAGTGAGCTAGGTAGAAATCTAATTCCTAAAATTGAAAATCTGGCCTCATCTGCATTTTGTTAAGTGCCTCAGTGCACCGTGTTCAGCATTAAATATACATTTTGCTTTTAAAGATACGTAACTCTCCGCAGTTCTTTGGGTTAAATCTGAGCTGTAGTTTCTTAGATATTCTACAATAAGCAAAATACCAAATGACACATTCCCTAATTCCTCCCAAGTTGCAGGTTTAGATAAGCCTAAGAGGTGTATAAGTTATGCATTTCCTGCAGAGATTAAAAAAACAGACTTTCCTCTTTCAAAGTCATCACGGGCCTGGGTTATTCTGGTTTCTGTAACGACACTGATCAGCTTGTAGGCAGATTTCAGAACGGCTGTGACTCTACCGAGAATTTATTGTTAATGCAATGAAAACTCCTAAACATTCTGTGATTTGCCCCAACAGATTTGTGATCTTGAAAAAGATTCTGTTTACATCCCTATCAGGTCCACAAAGAGGGCAAGAAACAAACACGTTTTAAGAACAAGGTACAAGTAACAAAGCTGTGGGCCGGCAGCGGCTGGAGTTGGAACCGGAGACCTGGTGGGCAGGTGGCTCTTTCTTCAAGTTAGAGTGGGGAAGGGTTTTTGAATAGAGTTCTTCTCTTACCCAATCACCTTAACCAACTTCTGTACAGTCAGCAGGACAAATAACACAGACTTAAATCTCCAAATAAGACCAAAGAGACAGGGTTTGCTGGTGTTTAATGGTTATGCAGCAACACTTTTCGGCAGACTTGTCACTATCCCGGTTTTGGTCTGAGCGGAACTGGCATTTGTGCCATGATACCATTACAATAAAGAAATTTAAGTCAGCAAAACAGGAGTAGAAAATGAACTCACTAGTTTACTTATAATAAAAGGAGCATCATCCTGTTTGTTTTTTAAATCCCTAGAATAGATAGCTTGGAAACATCCTGTGTTTTATACATCCCTAAAAGGTATCTATGTCAAATCTATTAAGTGTAGAGTATAAATGTCTTAACACAATAATTACGTAAGTGAGGTGAAGGCTATGTTAACCAGTTTGATGTAAGCCTTCCAAATTGTATATAAAATTGTACATTGTACCTCATAAATGCATTAACATATACATGATTTATGTACTTATGACTTAATAAATAAAAAAGATATCCAGAAATTGGTGTATGGACACTTTAACAAAGTTTGTTTAACAAACAATATGAAACTTCCAATCACAATCTCCTGCACCCTGATATTTTTAGCATTGTGCCTATCATTTTAAAAAGAAGAAAAAAGTCATTCTCTTAATGAAGTGACATTCTAAAGCAGGAGTCTCACATCTTACTGCCAAGGGCGAGCTGAACATCTCTACTTTAGACTTGAGGCTGTGTAGGGCTCCACTCTGTAGCTGTAACGAAATGTATCCACTGACTCGACATAAACCAACAGGCATGCCCTGCGTTCCAATAAAATGTTACAATTTGAATTTTAGTCTCAAATCTCATGAAATCTCCTGGTGGGTTTTTTTTCTTTTTCAAATATTAGAAAATTTTAAGAATCTTAGTTTGTGGGCCACTAAAAACAGTCTGCAGGTCAAATCTGGCCTGCGGACTGCAGTTCTCCAACCCTTGTTCTAAACAGCCATCAAATAGACATCCCAGTCAGGAGATCAAGTTGAGAAATGATGAAAGTACTTGGAGAAGGCCCTCAGTCAGAATCACTGTGTTCAATGTACACTAGCAGAGCAATTCTGTCACCCAGACTTGG